AAAATACAGAGCTGCCGCTCCGACTGCACCAGCACAAACAGCTGAAGCGACCAAGATCTGAGAACTCTTCATATTAATCTGAAGAACACAAACTCGAAGTCAGTAGAAAAGCAACGAAATACTTCGCGAAGAAAACAAAACGAACAATTCGTCTCGATAGCTCAGATGTCAGGTTTCCTTGGCTTTTAGAGGCAATACAAAGGAAGCGCAGTCTCGGATCAGGCTAACTTCGGGCTGATCTACAAAAATTTTGCATAAACGCGAAAATAAAAGTAGGCACTACAAAATGGGGAATTGTGTCGCTGAAACATTTCAGATCACACGGCACAAAAGAACTTTCAAACTTCGACGTGCTCGAGCTCACGTTCCAAATCCGTGATTGAACTTAGAACCGATTTTTCCTCTTCTTCGTCCAAAGTCATCATCATTCGTTGAAGCAGTGCTTTCACTTCGTTCAAGTCCTGAAAAAAAAGGTCCAACGCTTTCCTCTTCAGCTTCACACAATTTAACACATATTAAGCGTGAAACACTGGTGAAAAGAGAAAGGCCCACATTTCCAATAGATCTAGGAAATCCTTATTCTTTTATTTTAAACTTCTCATGTTCTAAGTACTGTACTGTACGGTATGGTATAGATTTAGAAGCAGACTAGAAATAATGTACTCTTTGAATATAAGAAATACGGCACACCATATATGTTGGATTACTCAACCGATCAAAAGCAACGAAATCCGATCAGTACCACATTTTTTTAAACACCCCTTCCATAAATTACAGAGAATTCCGGACGAAAGGCGTCAATAGACGAAAAAATAAATAAAATCATGAGCTAAGTGGTAGGGGATTGAACATTTGATTCGGTAGAACAATAGGTTTCGGCGGCTTCTCCTGTAATTTCTAAAACTGATACATTGCTCGTAACAAAGAAATACATTACCTTCATTGCACGCATGTGAGATTCAATCTTGGTAACAGCACCATTCAACCGCTCCGACAGTTGGGTATCGTAAATGAATTTGCTATTGAGTCGTTTGATGTTGTCTTCATGAATGGCAGCGAAATCAACATTTCCTCTTCGTTTTGCTCTCAAAAGATTTGTCTCCTCTTTTGTGATCAGTTCCCTGACTTTGTTCGCACTTCGCCTAGTGCGCTTCGTCAAGGATCGAAGTTGTTGCAGAGCTTCCTCCACAGATACGTTTTCCGAACGCGTTCTCGTGGGTGATCCGACTTTCGGGTCGTCGGTGGATTCCTTTTCTTCCGAATCCTGATCTCGCTTCTCACAGAAAGAAAAAAATCATCACAATGCGGAAATCGAAAAAAGACAGAATGGAATGGAGTGTTCGTCATTCAGGTTCAGTTATTATTGAAGCAAATGATAATACAGTAGTACATTAGTACTGTATAAGAAGAAAAAAGCTAACAACCAATTGTTCCACTGAATCAATTTCTTAGTCTCTTCCGCAACTTCTTCTCTTTGCTGGAGTACTGCGCGATTTTTCGAGCAGAACTGAACAATCCTTGAATCCTTAAGGAATGATATAGGTGTTACAGTATTTTAAAATGTAACGGCAGAATACAGTGAGAAGGAATGTGCGATCGTATCACTCACATACTGTACTTTTATACCCATACAATGCCTCAGAAAACAAGGCTTCAGAAGATCCAAATGTGATTCACTTAAAAAATTACATAGCGAGCTATTTCCTCTAATTCCTTTCCTCCTTTTAATTACATGATGTCTTAGATTGAATGATTTAATAGCAAGAATGTATCACACTGAAGAGTTCAGCCGAAGTGAAGATTTCGTCAGACTCATCGAAATGAATCCTCCCCAAACGCTGAGGATTCGACTTCTCCCAAAAAAAATTCTGGAATGACCAACCGATTTTCGACGGTGGTTGATGAATAGGTAAACCCAGTAGGACGCAGTCAAGACGCTAATAGCTCCAACGCCGATGATCACCTTCGATCGAAAATCCATTCCATTGCTCCGCTTCAATAAAGAGTTACGATTAATGTGAAGAACGGGATAGAATCGCGACATAAATTCTACAGATGCTTCAAAGCGGAACTCGCAAAGGAATGTGATACTCTTGGAAAAGTCAGAGGAGTCACGAAACTTACTTTCATTCACCTGAAAAAATCCATCTTCTTCGGGCTTGTGACACCTGTACAACCTAGGCAAACGCGAGAATGAAAAATTACGTCTGCATGGACGGATAGAATGTCACCAATGGTGGGAATAATTCATCAAGCAGAGGAATGGTGTATTAAATACGAAGATTGCATTTCACAGCACCCTTAACTGAAAAACCACGAATGCATGCCGTTGCAGAATTCAAATAGGAGCCGTCCGGATCGCGCCCATCACTTCGATCGAACCACAAGAGGAACAAGTTCTCGAGGCTTCGTGGACAGTGAAATTCATTCCCACTTAACGATTTGATGACAAATCATCACGAAAGTTGTATATTACAGCACGACGACCAGCCTTCGATTCCGAAATGAATTGCATTCTGACGAAAGGTTACAAGGAGAAAGACAGGCATGAACAATTTTTTCATTCAGTCAAATTTTGAATTTTATGTTTTTGTGGGTACATGAAATTCCATGATAAAACACGTAAATTTCGCAAGATCCTCGAACTACCGTAGAATACAATGGTCGAATAGAATCCCTCTCACATCTGAAATTAACATTATTCAATTGTTGAGTACACAGTACTTGACTGCTCTTCTGATGGTTCCTTCGTGCTCGGATGCTTCCTTTCACACACACACACACTAAACAGAACAATTACGATATTCTCGCGTCAACACGTTCACGATTCGAAAACCAATTCCATCACCTCAAAATCAGGGAATGAAATGAAAGAAATTCATTATGTGACAGGTATCGCCGCGGAATTCTTCCGAAAGTCAAGATTTGCGATCGCAACATCTTATTGCAGCGTTCCACTTCACCAATGCAAGCAAAATGAAAATTTGCGACTCCCTCAACACGAGATGATTCTTTGACATGGTCACCATGCGTTTCGGCCCACGACATCGGAAACGCACGAAGTGTGATAACGGAACTAGCGACAGCACAAATTGAATTTAACGACACGAACTATGCACCGTAGAGCAGCGCGCCGTTCGAGTCGGGCACATGGACTAACGCGTCACAACCGTAATACGCCGTTCTCTTCGAGAAAAAGATTTCGCACCTCCTGCCGTGACCCGGATTCGAACCGGGGTTGTTGCGGCCACAACGCAAAGTACTAACCACTATACGATCACGGCNCGCGGATTATCTTTTTTTTTTGTTGCGTGTCATACCGGGAGTCGTATTGCACGGAGTGCAGCCCTTTTCTGTTCGAATTATCGCCATTTGAGTTAATGAAAATATCGAAATTGTTTTTCTATGACAGAGCACATTTCAATTCTTCGCATGCCCATGTCCATGTGATTGTCTTTTACAAGCTACTCAACACGCTTCTTGTAAGCTTCATAATAAGAACTGGCCCAATAAATTGTTAGTCGAAGACATTAAGTGCATTGACGAATGATGTAATACGGTAATGTATAGTAGCAGTGCAAGATACAGTAAGGGATCCCTACCAGGACCCTTAGAGCGACATCTAGCGGTACCTCAACTAACCGTCCACGTCATCCACCCAGTTGTCACCTGAGAGAAGATAGTGATCACGATTGGAGGAGATGCGGCGGAGACCGAATAGAGACACTTCACTTGAGTTCTGACTTCTGACCTGGAAAGAGCTATTTTATTTGTGACTGTGATTGTGTTGTGTTTTCGTGTTGTCTGTAATTTCGGAGAAGGACATTAATAAATCCTCCGATTACCGCTGCGCTGGACGAAGACTCCTTTATCAAATCTTACTATACGAAACCAGTTCAAGCCAATGGAGATGTCTGTATACTTCAATAGGCGTATGAAAGTTTCTCCATGAAATTTTTCTCAAGAGTCGTAAAGCCGTACGCATACGCGTGCTGTTTTATTCTTTAATGCAGTAAATACAGCGCCACAACTTCGTTGCACATATGGTACATGTATTCATCTACATAAATTGGTATTCCCCTGATATTTGGATGAATAAATGTGTAATGTATTGGTTAAGCTTTCTGGGGTTTGTCTGCTGGTGTATAATGATTTTAAACTTGAGACACACGCTTTTCTGCACAGAAACAGTGCAAATTTTCAGGGAGGAATCTAAATAGGGATCCGCGGAGTCGGGATGAAAGATGGGAGAAAGGGACTGCTCCCAGATCGGGTCGGGAGGTCGGGGTAAACCGCGGGCTGGGAGCATTTCCCATGCGTTAGCACGGCAGACCTGTTTACCCGCCCCCACATTATATTCGCCCTGGCCCAGGTAGCGGATGACCACGAAGGGGCCCAACTGTTGCACTCGGAATCGCCGGTCAGCGGCGTGCTGCTTAACGGTTGGCAGGCGCGGGCGAAGGGCGACCAGGTCCCCTGGGGAAAACCGGGGCCACCTCCGTTGGTCGGCGACGCGGCAAAAACCCTCGCGGGCCTTCGCGGCTACGACGGGGATCTGCGCAAGCTCGAAGTCAATTGGGGGAGGTTCCACGCCGAAAGCGCAATCGGAGTCCAGAGTTGTCAGTCGCTGAAAAAAAGCTTCGGTGGGGGTTATCCCAATTGACGAATGAATCGTATTATTATAAGCCAGCGCGGACTGAAAAATAAATTTGTCCCATTCCGGGCTGTTGCCTTGCACCATTTTTGCTTGGATCTGGCCCAGCGTGCGTATGGCGCGCTCGCAACAGCCGTTCCCTTTGGAGTGAGAGGCCTGCGCGACGTGTTGCTTCACTCCAGCGTCGCGAAGGAACCATTTAAATGCGCGAGATCGAAAAACGGAATCAGCATCAGAATGGACGTACTCAAACAAACCAAATTGACGGAAAACTTCGGCGATAAATGGGATCACTGTTGAGGCATCGGCCTGGATAATGGGCTTCACCATCATGTACTTGCTGTAGTGGTCGACCGCGACGACTGCATAGCGATGTCCCTCTGATGACAGCGGTAGGGGCCCGTAGAAATCGATGGTCAAGCGTTCCCTAGGATACGTTGATCGGATAGGTTCCAGTTGGGTGCCCACTGACGTTGTTCGGGTGTTGTATCGAAAGCAGGTCCGGCAGCATTGGATGCGTTTCCAGACATCTTGACGCAACGACGGCCATTTGTAGCGGGTGCAGAGGGTTTGATAAATCTTTTTCCATCCCGCATGACCCAGCTCCTCGTGGTAGCTGTCGATGATTTTGTCGCGCTCTGCCTCATCGGGGGTCTCACGTGCTTCGGCCGCATTCAGCGTGACGCGGCTAAGGGCGTCCGGCCCCTTCAGGAATCGTCCTGGTTTATACACTATCTTGGCCCTGAAAGAAGCAAGTTTAGTGTGTAAATAGATTAGTCGCGTGGTTTTCAGCTCCCCGAGCAAAGCCTTATGGTCGGTGTAGACGGTGAAATCCCGCATCTCCAAGTACTGGCGGAACTTCTTGGTGACCGCCCACACGATGGCCAGGAGTTCTCGTTCGGAATTTGTATAGCGGGACTCCGTGTCGCTGAGGGTTCGACTTGCGTACTCTATGACGCGTGGTCTGCCTTCTTCGTCAATTTGCACTAAGATCGCCCCCAACGAGGTCAGGGAGGCATCGCAATGGACCTCCGTCAGGCGGGATGGGTCCATGCGTTCGAGACGGGCCGAATCTGCGAGAATAGATTTAAGATGATTGAAGGCATCGACTGCTTCTGGCGTCCATTGGAGCTTATTTTGCGGTTTTGGCGGAATGATCTGGCGGAGCGTTTTCTCTGCTGTAGCGAAATTAGTTGGTAGGTGGGCCCGCAGGTACGTGGCCATACCCAGGAACCGCTGCATCTGGCGGGTGGTGGCGGGTTGCGGGAATCGGCGAACTGCGTCCAGGTCCTTTTCCAGGGGCCTCGTGCCTGTCTGGTCTACTTCGTGGCCCAGAAAGATGATCTTCTTGGCTAAAAAAGTGGACTTAGCAAGGTCGACCGCTGCGCCCGCGTTCCCCAGAGCCGTGAGCACAATATCCAAATTCTGTAACACTTGTTGAAAAGACTCCCCATAGGCAATTATGTCGTCCATATAGGCCAAACACCGGGTAAAAAGATGGTCGCGCAAAATATGGTTAACCGCGCGCTGAAACGCTGCTGGCCCATTTTTGAGGCCAAAGGGCATGACCCGGTATTGCATCTGCCCCCGAGGGGTCCAGAATGCCGTCTTGGGCCGGTCTGCGTACGAAATCGGTAAATGATGGAACGCGGCGTGTAAATCAAGGGAACAAAAATACGCGTTGTTCCGACCAAGCGCGTCAAGGAGATCTTGAATAACTGGCATAGGATAGCGATCGTCTGCCAAAATATTATTAATGCCCTGATAATTCTCGACCAAGCGCCAGTGCCGATGGGGTGGCGCGTTGGGATCCGAGGTCTTTTTACTCGTCAAAAATGCAGGGGAATTGTACGGCGAATAAGCCGGTTCAATAATTCCTGCCTCTACGTATTCGTCAACCAACTTGGAAAAAAGCGCGTTAAGTTCGACAGATTGGCGGAAAGAACGCGTATTCGGGATGACGTCGCCCAATGTATGCAGCGCGACGGTGTGCTCGGGTAAAAAGCCGCGACGTCCCGACCATTGATGGAACATATCCCGATGCCTGAGGAGCATGTCGCGAAGCGCGGATCGCTCCGAGGGGTCGCCGTCGGTAAAAATAATCCCGTCCCCCGGCGGGAGGGTTGGGGTAGCGCGATTCTGGATAGTTCGCTGAAACCCGACGAAGGCGCGTTCGCTGTCGAAGGTGAGAGCAATCGGAAAGTGCCGAAGCGCGGTTCGCCCCAACAGCAGAGGAGGATCTGAAAGATGCGGAAGGATGAGGAAAGGAATAGAATAGTGTAATCCGCGAAAGAGGAAGTCGATGGTTACCTGCTGCGCCACCTTAGCCGTATCCGTGGTAAGGGCAGTAAGGACGTGGATTGAGCAGGGGCGGGGAGAAAGATTAAGGGAATCTACTAACTTCTGGGAGACAAAGGCGTGCGAGGCGCCCGTATCGACGAGAGCAGGAACGGTAACGTCGCCGATCTGAAGAGGAAGCACGATTGGCGGGGGTGCGGCGAGATCCGTGTCCACACAGTGTGCCGCGTTCACTGTGATGGCCTGGCATTTCCCTGCGTCTGCAGTGGGCAGTTCCGGCCGATGTGACCGGGCGCATGACAGTGGTAGCAGTAGAAGGGTCTGTTGTTCTGCCCCGGTGGTTGAGATGTAGTTGTCGAAGTGGTTCGTCCCGTAGATGCCGCTGCCCCTGCTGGTGCCGAAGGTCCGGTTCCCTCGGGAGGCGGTGGTGGAAGTCGGCCCTGCTGACGGAGCAGGATGCGGCAATCTTGAGGCGAGTGCCGAACGTGAGCCTGGTGCCCCTCGCACCATTGTCGCTGGGGTCGGTTGCTTGACCCGGACTTGGTTGATGCCTTGGAACCGGTCCCGCTGCGCGACATGGCGTGGTGATGTAGGCGATAACGTTCAGCTTCTGCGATGGCTTCCGGCCAGGACCAGTTGCGATTGTCTATCCACTTCCGGCGGAGCTCGTCCTGAAGGCCGGTTGGCACCGCGTTGACCAGTTGCTCGATAAGGATTTTCTGGCGAACCAGGTCCAGCGTGACCGGTTGCCCCGGCGGGTTGAGGAACGAGTTAAACAAGTGCTCTAACCTTCCGCTGAAGCTCACAAAACTTTCTCCGGGCTGCGGGCGCAGCTGACGAAACCGGTCCAGCCGGTCCAAGTGCGGGGTAGGATGAGATACCGCGATAGCGGCCACCAGCTCCTCGAACCCGACGATGCCACGTCCGTAGAGGATGGATGCGGTCTCCCGGACAAGTGCGTGTGTCTTGTTGAGCAGACACCATACTTTCATGTCGGCTGACACGTTGTTAATGGCCGGCATGCGTCGGAGGTGATCTGCATAGTCTTCGAAAGATTCGGACTCACGCTGGCGTGGTAGATCCGACAGTTGAGGTTCCCCCGGTGGACGCTGACTCTGTAGGGGGTATGTGGGCGGTACCGGCGTGGGTGCTACGATGACGATCTCCTGAGAGGTTGTTGGCGGGGCCCAGGGTTGAATCTGCAAATCCAGTGGGCGAAGATGCCACCCGGGGGGCGGGATCCAGCCCTGGGCAATGGATGCCGGGACCTTGTTGGAAGTAAGTAACGAAACGTAGCTCTCACGGTTGGAAGAAGACGGAGTGCCCAGACGATACGCCTCGACGAGATACTGCAGCGTTGGAAGCGGGACAGCCTCCCANGCATTACACCGGTGTTTCGAAGTGCGCGGACATTTGCATTCTCGCACTACTGAGAGTTTCCCGCTCTTCACAGAATCAGTTTTTCAGATCATGAAAACTGCCAGTCCGTCGCCTGCATTACGTTGCTGCACTGCTTTTGAAACCAAACCTGCTCATCAGTCGCGTGCAAATTGAACATCATGCCGACTCCGTATCAATGGATTCTGCACCACGTCTAATAATGCATGCTACAAGCATATTCATAAGAAATTCACTCAAGATGACATTTTAATTAAACTTTCGTCAGTGCTGGTGGTGTCTTATACAGATTTTAAGGTGCTGTCGACGCGTCCTGTTGAGTGAATTATTCATTAACCGGAATGTCGCTGAAAAAAGCCACGGCGTTTGTCATCCTGATGTTAGCGACATTACATTTTGATAAAAGCGAGTCTCTCTCAGGTAAGTTTATCGTTTGAAATAGACTTCTCATTAAGAAATCAGTACATGTAAGAAATTGGATCAGTTAAATTCGTTCTTCTCAAATTGCAGGCGGATCAATAACTCATGTCGGAGAGTTTCCTCACATCGTCTCAATCCAAATTCCTCCGAAACGTAAGTCGTCTTTCCACGGAAAACACGGATGTTCAGCAACCCTCATAACAAAAAAGGCAATTCTAACAGCAGCCCATTGTTGCAGTCTTGTTCCTCCACTGAAAAACGTACTTATTTCATTTTTCGCGACTCTCTGAAGGATCATAATTTTTCATTATTTCATACTAATATTTCAGCTAGTAGCAGGAATCTTCGATTTTTACGCAGTAACGGGAAATGAGCAGAGAAGAACCGTGAAGAATGTTTTCATACATCCTTTGCATAACACAAGGTGAGGCATATACTGTATACTTATTCAGTATTTCAATATATATCTTTGCGGGTGAAGCACTGTACAGTACTTCATTCAAATTTCCAGTCGATGGATTGAACACGATATTTGCATCATGGAGCCTGACGAAGCGTTTGACCTAAATTTGTTTGTTTGGCCAGCAAGCTTACCTGCTTTCCAAGACGAATTTTTCAGTAAGAAACGGGGTGATGAATTCAAAGTGCTAGTCATAATCGATTTGCCCTTCGATTCCATGCAAGGTTATGATTTGTTGGCATACGGCTGGGGAGATTTGGGAAATGGAGCCAAGCCTTCCGAACTTCACAAGCTTTGGTTGCAGCACATAACAGATGATTTCTGCAGCTATATCATGGGTGATCAGGTTGGAGAAGCCATGCTCTGCGCTGGGGATCCCAGGAGCAATAGTGGAACTTGCAAGGTTTGCACGCATACATAAATTTAAATCGCGAAAACAGTGCAGAAAACATGAAACGATGTACACTGGGGCCTCAAGCAACAAACCCAGTATTCCATCAGCAGCTGTTTTATCGCTCAAGGCTTTTGTCATCCAAGTCAGGTCACTATTGATTGATTTCCCCATAGGTTAGTCAGGAAAAATCAATCAAATGGTTCCAGCATAAAAATAAATTATAAAATACAATTCTAACTCAATATTCATTCCCATCGTACGTTTTGTAAACGTGCGAAAATTATTCAATAGGAATTTGATCCAGCGCATTTTTTCCATCCCCACTTTCTTTAAAGTTTACTTATATTTCATAGAAAATTAGACAACAATTATATTCGGTTGAATTACAGTACTGGACAGAAGGAATCAGATGTCATAATATTATTTTTTCTGGGAATCAAAATTTACCCGTTTAAGCGTGTACTTTTCTGGATTTTGATTACATAAGAATATTTCGTGCCGTGTGGTTTCATTTTTTTCAGGGAGATTCCGGAGGGCCGCTGGTGGATCCATTTCATTCCCTCGTTGGGATAATATCTTGGACAATCGGAGCTTGTGCAGATTCGAACAAGGTTTCAGTTTTCGCCCAGGTTTCCAGATACATGGACTGGATTTTCGAAACAGTCACAGACAACGATTTATTTTGAACCTGATCGCATCATGATCAAATCAAGTCGTTTCGAAGCAACACCGAGTACATCCATATAAAATCCTGTCGAGTAAATACGAGGGATGTTTCAAAGCTTCTATTGTCAGCAACTTAAGAATAACCTTTTTTTGCGTGCCATGGTATCTGTATCACATTCTTACGAACTCCGTTGTAAGTACGGGGTCCATAAATAAAGTGTCGCCTCATCACCAAGGATACTTTTCAGATCACAGCGCAGATTTCGGCGACAATTTCCAATCGCCGTTTTTGATAATACAGTACGAAGGTTGCAGCGCTTGCAGGGAAAAATTGAGCTTTCAGTTCAGCAGTGCGTCACATCGTACATATTTTCAAATACTGTATCAGAAAACGCGGTGTCCGTCGGAGCATGCTTGGTTGTCGCACGAGAGACATTATTGTCTCTAAGATAAATTTTTAAGTGATGATCATGTAAAATTACATCACAACGAACACGTAAAATAGGCGCTCAATTGAGATTCTTGAAAAACAAATAAGTTGCGGATTAATTCATAACTGAGTTATCTTAGCAATACTGGAAAATTTATCTTTCAACATCAGCCCTAAAAATTATTCTCACAATACAGTTTCCTTTTAATGCATTTCTATGCAGAAGATTTCTATGCTCCTTTTAGATTAATTGTAGGGAAACGTCAACCTTTTCTGACATGAGAACTGTTCAGATTAATCCCAATGATTATTGGTGTCTCTGTGCATGTCTTCCATCCATTTCTACCAGCAGGGAAATCCACAATTGAAGTTCGTAAAATGACAAAACATAAATTTCTGAAAATCTTCATTATCTTTAAGGACCTATAATGGCAGAAGCATGAAAGTGCAACAAGAAAACGTGTCATATACTATAAATTAAAAATGAACACTTCCTTCAGAATGGCTCTCGATTCTAAAACAACGTTTATATCCAAACAAGCAAGGAAAAAAAACATAGTCACATTCCAAATAAAAATATTTGGAAAACTCACTCCAAAAATATACGAATTAAACTCAAAAACCGCATATAACTCATCGGCCAAAGAGGATGAATTGAACTGCGAAGCATGTTCATGGTTCAGCCATCAATCAATGCCGTGGATTTCGAATCTATCTGCGATTGGGTAATTATTTCTGTTTTCACTTCAGTCGTTTCTGGTTCTATACAGAGGACTGTATTTGCCTTTGAGAAACTGATGCGCATTCTGGAAAACATTCCCCAGCAAACACCATGATAGAACAAAACGGAAATCACGACCAAAGCTGCACCAGATTGCGACATACTAGTCAACCGAGACCCAAAGAACACCGAGTCAGTAAATGCACTGATTAAAATGGCAAAAGCTGTAGCGAAGCCCTTCATGATGTTGTCTGCGTATTTGATCGCACAGGCCACCAAAAGACCACCAGAAGCCCAGGCCACGATGGTCAACCACACGAACCAGTCGAACCCATGGAATAAGCCCTTTCGCCAAACGATTTCGGCGTCGTAGAAGTAACACGCCATGATCCCAAAGGCCAAAGAAGCAGAGCTCATTTGTATATTTCGCATCCATAGGGAAACTGGAGAACTTTTCAGGATTAGCTCGAAATACACGCCCGCAAAGCCCGACAGGAAGCAAGCCGTGACCAGTAGCAGAAGGCCGAAAAGCGGTTCGCTCAGAGAATCTGTACTGAGAATTCTCCCTTTATNCAATAACTTAACGCTTGATCTTTGATATTTCAACAATTAGACAGCAAATTTGGCCGTCGATCCTACTCGTCTACGAACACTCACCTGAAGCAACGTAACACCTAATATCAGCAACAGTAACGAAAACCACTGGATCCTCGAAATCGTCCTTCCCAAGAGGACCACCATGAAAAGAGCAGCGGTGAGAATTTTTGTTTGATATGTGGCTAGGTACACGGCGGGGTCCAGGTAATTCGAAGCAGCCCAAAGCAAGTTATTTTGGATCAGGTAAAGAAACGCAGGCAACATGCTCTTCAAGGTATCAGTCCAATCCAAAACGAATGATTGCCGAAACGCTGTTTTGTATTCCGACCAGCTGAAGTCCAAGTCGATCAGCAGGAAAACTGAACTCATCAACAGCTTGTATAATTCTGCCATCGCTACGCTGGAAGATGTCAGGTATTGCTTCTTGGGATCTGGTTGCCTGCCATAATACAAACGTTTGTTTAATTACATTTTAGGAAGCTAAGAATGTGCTGCCCGCTGGATTTCACCGTTGGCGAGGGACAAATCTCATGACGGCACTTCGCATAGGAATTGACGTTGATATGCAGTATTGGATTATGACGTTTGACGGTTAATAGAGTACCGCACTTTTCTAATCATTGATCATCAGCTAAGCATACAATTCTTGCCAAAAAGATATTTACTCAAAATAATCAATTGCCCTCATCACGTATCGGTTCCTTTACTTTCTAACGTACACCTACTGTACACATTATTCAGTTGATTCACACGCGCTGCTCGACTCCAGCCAAAAAAAATATCGTTCATCCCGCAAATAGTTTTTCTCGCTCGAAAAAGTTCTTCTATCGTTTGCTGGACAGAAAGTGATAAATATTTCTTTGGAGTTTTTGACTCATTTTATTGGGGTGAAGACCAAATCCAGCCTTTTTTATCGTAGACGTGCACATTTTTAAACCTGACCAGCACTTATTTAATTATTACTGGTGCATACATGTTTTATGCGATCAAATCATGCAAAATTCAGTTGATATCTTGTGAGAAGACACAACAAACCATATAATCCTAAGGATTTTTCACAGTACAATCGAACTTCATGGGACCGGCGAAAAAAATCGTTAAGAAAAGAAGCATTTTGTCGCGGGAAGGAAAGACAAATTACAGGAAATCGTAACTGGTGATGTTTCGTGCATTACATTTATTCTTGAAGGAGTTGAAAGGATGTGAACTTCGAGGCAAGGGTTCATTTGCACAATGAACGGCAACTCTAATTAATTAAATAATCAATCAAAAAATCGGCATAGTGAAGTATTCGACTTGAGCCGGGAGGTTCGAGTCATGACATTATTGAGGTTCAATTATATTATTCAGTCTTCTTCGTACCTTGATTCAACTACAGGTCTTCTAACAACAGTATAGAATGAAAAAGAAAAGAAAAGCGGACATGAATGAAGAACCACTGAAAAATTGAATCTGCGAGATTGATTATTTTCCAGCGAACACATGATCAACACGCAATGCAACTAACCTTTCACGAGAATATCGGAGCATCGCGGTAGCGACCA